GCAAAGAAATTGGGCATCGCCACACCACTCTCGAAATTTGCAAAATGGGGATGAACTTCCCGCTAGAACACGACCAGATGCCCCCGCCACATTTTTGTCTTTTTCACATTTTGAGAGTGGTGTGGCGAGGCCCATTCTGATGTTCTTCCTTTACGTTTTTTTCTTTTTATTAAAAAAAAAAAATCCAGGAAAAACGGCTGCCAGTCGTCGTTTTCTACTTCAGAAGTAATACGAAGAGAACGTTTTGAGAGATCGGGACCCTCATCATGACTGAATCTGGCCTGCAAGAACCCTACCATACAGACTGCAATTACCGTTGAGGTTGGACGTGCCAGGCGACACTCATGCAAAGAAATTCTTGATTTTTTTCCATTCCAGGAAAAACGGCTGTCAGTTCCGTTGTTTTCTACTTCAGAAGTAATAAGAAGAGAACGTTTTGAGAAATCGCGACCCTCATCATGACTGAATCTGGCCTACAAGAACCCTACCATACAGACTGCAATAACCCTACCATACACACAGTGTTACCTGAACTACAGATTACTAAAAGCTTGYGGGCCAACGCGCGGCCTCCAAAAAAAATCTGGCTGCCCGTTTCTTATTTTACGCGAGCAGGGGGCCGGGTCTACTACCGCCCCTCACAACTTTTTTTTTTTTTTTTTGACCCCCATTTTTGGAGGTGCGCCGCATGCAGTGCGCGTGCGTCATGCGGGATGCGCCGTGAGGCGCACGTGCGCAGTGCAGCACATCGCGATGCGCCGCATGTATGGTTTGTATTATGGCGGGTCATTACAAATTAAAAAATAAAATAAAAATAATATTTTTATTTTATGATTCTTTTCCCCCCGTTCGTTCTGTGTCCAGAGTTCCTTTCGAAAATAGCCTCTGTTCTTCTCAGTTTTTTTCTCATTTTTTGCAGGCGAGGTCATAACAGGTCATCCTTTCCATCACTGTCCTGGTTTATGGGTGCATGGACTGCTCTGGCTTCCTGGGTAACCCCCCCTGACAGGCCTTGCCAGATGAGGCCCAGGGAGGGTCTTGGGCAGTCTCGATGTGAAAAAAAATAAAAATAAATAAAAATTCAGAAAAGGAAAATTTGGAAAAAGGTACAACTTTCAAAGTAACCCTGAAACTTCACGTACATTGCGAAAATACCCCTGGAATATGTGGGCAGAGTGGAATACCCGTCTGAAATTTCAAAAGTCTGTGAGATGCCCTTTTGGATTTAAAACTTATCAACCTATGCCTGTGAGAGTGATGCGCAAGTCTGTGTTCTGCCCCTGACAGGGGTATAGCACAAACTTGCCAAACAGGGAGAAGGGGAATAGCACAAAGATTTAAAATTTTAAATCCAAAAGGGCATTTCACAAACTCTTGAAATTTCTGAGGGGTATTCAACTCTACCCACATCTTTTACGGCCTCCTGATGAGTCGGTGAAACTACGATGAAACAGTTGGTCACAGCCCCTCCTTTGTTGTCCTCTTCTCCCTCTCTGCCTACGGTGTACCGGGCCGTTCTCTTTGACGATATATGTGGACTTTCGGGGGTATTTCGCAAATTTTCCCTTCAAAAAAGTTCGGATAAATTTTTTAAATATGTGTTGTGTAAACTTGTATTAGAATTTGATGGGGTAGTCTTCTGGTGGATGTGGGGGCAACAGTGGTTAACACAAAATCCAAAAATTTATAGGGTAATACACATCAAAATTTACTGGAATAGTATCTAGAGTGGGGACTGTTGCAGATTATGCTCGGGATGGTGAGTGGGGTACAGGTCCTGTGTGCAGCGTTAGGGAGCTGTGAACCTTCACTAGTAATCAGTGGTAGTAATCTGAGGCTGATCAAGGGTAAGGGTGGTCCGTATGGGGGATTGATAAATGTGAAGGATAGAATGATAGGACAGGGAGGGTCTTATTGGATGTGGATGTGGTTTTTGTGAGGCCCGGACAGTGGAGAGGTCTCCTGGAGACTGAGGTGTCCCCCCCGTGGCCAGCATAATGTGCGACTGGGTACATAGCTTTGTTTCCCGGCCATTATGTGTGCTATGGGAGAGGGTTAGCGAGGCCCCATGGAGCACCTCCCCATGCCCCCCCTGCAGAGTGACTTGGGCAGCGGGGGATAGGGCTGTAACTTCGCCTCTTTTCTTTTGATCTCTTGAAGTTTATCAGTTGTAAGGGGCGCTGGACCTGGTTTCCAGCAGGTGAAGCTCCCCACCAATAGATTGGAGCCAGCCACAAGACTGCTAGGGATGCTTGCTTGTATCAGCTCCACTAGAAGACCAGTGACTGTAGTTGGAAACAAACAAACAAACAAACAAACAAACAAACAAACAAACAAACAAACAAACAAAAACAAAAAAAACAAACAAGAAAAGCTTGCATGAGAAGCAACTTTTCGGGCAGAGCAACTTTTCATTGAGGGGCTCTCCCACAAGATTGCTTTCCAACTTCAAGATAAAAAGAAATAGAAAACGAGAATAAGCTATACCCATTCAAATTCAACCGATACAAGCCCTGTTTATACCCCCCCGCTCTCCCCCCTGTTTGTTTGCCCCATCATCACCGAAGTGGAAAGCCACCTGCAGACCTGACTAATTAGATTCCATGGTGGCGTTGTTCGTAATCTGATCAGATCTTGACAGACCCTGCAACCTACAGAGACACGTCAGACGGCATTGAGTACCTCGTGCTCGCACCGATCAAGCTGAAAGGTAAATCGTCTGTCCTTGAGGTATTCCGGCCACTGGGGGAGAAGAAAGCCGATGGAACAGTGGTAAGGCCACAGGCAACAAGTGGTTCACACACACATGGGTCGAGGTCATCCTTTACCAGCACCAAAAGTGAGAAAAAGACTGCCCACCCTAGGGTGATGGTAGGACGGGAGAAGGAGCTTGTCCTGTTGCAGTCAAAGGCTACGGCGCTCGTTAAGAGCTGGAAGGAGGAGGCGGCAGCAAATGGACTTGCGCAAGAGGGTCATAAATCCAACGATAATGAGAACAACAGCATTCCGGCGGAAGTTGTGGCAGTTGTGGGACAAATTGGCATTGGCAAAGGGAAGCTGATTGATGTCCTTCGTGAAAGGCTAAAATCGCAACCTGATTTACAAGTGATTGTTGTAAATGGGGGATACCTTGGCGGTACACAAGCACAGCTCTTTGGGCCATGGGTTCGCCTTGCGCTGGAGTTTTTGCCAGCAGACAAGAGCGCAGAGCAGAGAGGCGAGATGGTGGCTGAGCTTGTTGGTGAAGAGCATCGGGCACATCTGTGGATGCTAAACAATATCCTGAACATCCATGTGCCGGTAATGTACTCAACCCATCACGTCACATGCCCGTTTTCACAATACAATGTCGTAAATCCAGTTTCACACAACGGGCACAGTGTGCACTAGATTCATTTTCTTACATTGTCGCAATGAAAGGTTTGTTTGATTTGATGTGATATGATATGGGAGCATTTACTACAGGAGAAGAGGGATTTGAACCGTTAAGTTCGGCGTTAACCTATGGTTTTGGAGACCATTGTTCTACCATTGCAACTATTCTCCACATGGTTCGGCAAAAAATGGACTGCTACAAGCAACACTCCATTTGCCACACCACAATCGTGTCACACATAGTGCAACAGGCCAGGGTTAGTCACACAGTGGAGCACACATGCATTGTATATTCTAACAGTTACCTTTCTTAAACTGTAGTACACGGCCCCAGTCTTGCAGAAAGCTTTTGTCGCCACAAGCAAGACTTGGAGGTGCCTTGCGGCCAGGGGCACCGTTGGAAAAAAAATAAAAATCACCGGCCTCAGAAGTGGTGCAGGTTTCGTGCTGACACCCGCGGGCTGATGTGTGGTGTACTGGTGCTTTAAAACACTAGTACTTGGCCCAGCTATTGGCCGTAGAAAAAAAAAATAGAGTAGAAACGTTTTGAGTTGGATGAATTTGGGCGCTCCTGTAGTGTCCCATACGTTTCCTAACATTGTGGCTCGTTAGTGGGCACGACCTTAGGAAGTACTGGTGGTTTAAGGGTGGTTAAACGCTTATGTGTGAGCGAATTTGGTGGACATTCATGCTTACTCTTAGGCTCTCGCACATGCTGCAGGAAACATTATGAAAATGTTCATGTGTGTGAGAGGTTCCCTGCCTTTCCCACACAGTAATACACACACCGTGGTCTTAAGTGGTGTTGAGTGTGAACTGATGTGGCGTGACGGTTGAGATAGTGGAAATGGTCCCTGTGCACGAGAGATTATGTTCATTCATTCTAAGCTATGCTCCAGTGCATGCATAGCATTCCTCCAGAAGCGAACCAGTTTGGTCATTCCTTTGAGAGGTGACTCTGTTGCCAATCAGTATCTTATCATCATATGCCTCAGACATGATGCTGACGGGAAACTGTTTCAGGTACAAGTGAAGTCAATTGAATGAAATGAAATCGCCCACTTCAGGGATCGGACCTGCAACCTGCTGATCTCAATTCAGAACACATGCAAAATGGTGCATATCCGGAGCTATTCGGTACGCAGATCCTTTGATAGAGCAAACAGCAAAAAGCAGCAAAAAAGAAAGCAATTGAAGAGCTGTTTGTATGCAGCCGTCATGGTGAAGGAGAGAGAGGCTTTGATGAGCCTCTGACACCTGAAACACAAACAAAATTTCAATGAGAAAAAAATGTCTTCATGTGAGGAATTACAATTGTACGTCCTTCGGGACATCCATGAAAATTGGAACGATACAGAGAAGATTAGTATGGCCCCTGTGCAAGGATGGCACACATAAATCGACAAATGGTCCAAACTAAGCAAACTTGAAAAAAAAAAAAACAAAAAAAAAAACAATATACAATGCAATGAATGCATAGACTACATGAAATGCCCTCTGGACCGTGCGAGATAGTTGACCATGAGACAGCTCACTGTATGTCGTACGGTGGTTTTGCCATACAGCTGTTCGAACGGCTGTACGGCCGTGCGTACTCAAGCCGTAGTTAGGTGCCTAGGCCACTGAAAAATCAGCAAAAAAAAAAAACATATATAAGTACCATTACGAGCTCAATATATACGAGTGTTATTTTGTGAGATTACCCGGATCTTCTCTCTCTCTCTCTCTCTCTCTCTCTCTCTCTTTCTCTCTCTCTCTCTCTCTCTCTCTCTCTCTCTCTCT